GTCCATGCGCCATACTTCCACGCGTTATACTTCCACGCGCTATACATCCATGCGTTATACTTCCATGCGTTATACTTCCACGCGTTATACTTCCATGCGCTATACTTCCACGCGCCATACTTCCATGCGTTATACTTCCATGCGCTATACTTCCATGCATTATACTTCCATGCGTTATACTTCCATGCGCCATACTTCCATGCGCCGTACTTCCATGCGTTATACTTCCATGCGCTATACTTCCATGCGTTATACTTCCATGCGTTATACTTCCATGCGCCATACTTCCATGCGTTATACTTCCACGCGTTATACTTCCATGCGTAATACTTCCATGCGTTATACTCCCATGCGTAAAAAATTGTCACGCGCTGTATTTCAACACGTTAAATTACTATGCGTTAGATACCATCACTCGCTATATTTTCACGCGTTAGATATCGTCACGTGTGGCACTCTATGCGTTAGATATCTCCATTTAACTGTAACTTACGCGTCAAATATTCCCCAGCTAGCTACACACATATTCCCCTCGCACGTCTGATACCATCACGCGTTAAATTACTCCTCAGCGCATCCACGCGCCAGATATCGTCACGTGCTATATTTTCGCGCTTTATAAAAATCATAACACCCCATAAAAATGTCATACTACGAAAACTATTACAATCTCAACAATAATTAAAAATAATCTAAGTGTACCCCCTCTAAAAATTTCCCAAGTCCAAATATTCATTAAAAATTTAAAAATCCTTTAATCCAATAATTCCTAATCTCCTAATCTCTTCCTAATCTCTCGAATCAACGACGTCAAAGAAGATGCTAGAGAGACACAATTATCCCATATTTTCGTAAACAGAATTATAAGCTAATCCATAGATCGCCATATTTCGAAAATCTGGAATAGCTGTTAGTTACCGTGAACTTTATCGACTTACGAGGAAAGTTTCAGCAGCGTGAAACGGTAGCATAAAAGTAAGGCATCAACGTGCAAGGAACTTTAATAAAACCGAGGTTCCTCTATCTCTCCCCGAGCTGACACAAAAAGGATGAGTTTCACGATATCACAGTGCAATTATCTCCGAGGAAATGAGCTTTGCATAGGCGCCAGGAACGTGTGCAATACGGGGGCGAAGTTATATATGAAAGAGGTCGCGCTAGGTAAAGGCTCGTATTTATACGTTCCACGAGGTAAAACGACGTCTTAAGGCCGTTCAAGCATTTATGGTGCACGTTCCAGTTTTGAAAAGGACGCGGGAATGCAGGGCTGAATCGACGGTGCTCTGGCCATGATTTTAAAATCGCCGGGGAAATTAGTTGACAGACCGGCCGGATGAAAAACCTGGCGAAAAATCTCTTCGTTAGATTTAATAGGGATGCGACCTTCGTGATGCTCTCCCTTGATGGACCATGCATTTTTTATGGAATTTGCGTGCCGGCTGCTTGCAAAGACAGGATTTAAGATTTCGATGCCTGCCATCGAATTGGACTAGGATTGGACTTTTAATTGAAATTAAAAATATTCTATTTATTTATAATATTCAACCTTTTTCTTTCTATTCAAGGTTACTATATTTTACAAGGCAAGAGATATTTTTCACTGACTTGATCTCTAATTAAGTTCGTCAACTTTTCGGATAACTTGCTGTATTGTGTATTGTGGTATTTTTGATGACCATCTATATGCAGTTAAATTTTAATGCAAGATTAATTTATTTAGAAATGAAGATTAATGTCAATGTTTATGATTTAACCTAGAAGAAGTTGAAGAAGAGGCAGACATGAAACTACGTGAATTCTTAGGTATACATTCTACAGTTTGTTCAAATGTAGTGGTCACAGATTTGAGGAAGTGGTCGAACGCAAGAAATGATATCGCGTAAGTGGCAGCAACTGTTGAGGGGGTGACAGGGGTGGAACGCAGAAACGTAGTCAGAAGAGGTCGGGTCTACGGGATGTTTGCGCGCCTATATGTATTCCAGGCTCGAGTAAGAGGCTGCTGCACGTATGTGCACGTACACGGCCAGGTAGCGTAGGAAACGTGAGATGTGTACGTGTGGCCCCATACAAACGACAGCCAACGGAGCCAAGCAGCTATCCATCAGGGTGCTTTTGTCGCCCTAATGAGAGGCTGAATTATTCAGCTTAGAGAACACCCCTCTCCCCGAGGACCCCTTTCCTACTGCCGGGGAGCTGCTTGCACCCGCTGGAAAACTTAAGAGTCCCTCGTTCATTCCGGTGCGTAGGTTAACGTGCGCTCTTCATCCTATTCGATGGAATTTTCGGATGAGTTGCCGCAGATTTCACGAGATTATGGCATTGTGGGACTCGTTTTTTATAATTCGCGTATTATGAAACACTGTGGTTGATTGACTTTTTATTCACTTTGCTAATAGTGTTTGTTCATTTTATATTAATTGGGTTTTGCTGTCTTTACACAGGTAAAATTCGATTTTTGTTACAGTTGTATATATGGTTCTTTTAAGTGGATCATTTTTTGAACTCATATGTTATTAATTTATTTCTTTTCGAGCACATGGGAATTTTATATTAAAAATTGTTTGAATACAATTATTTGACTTGACTGTTGTTATCAGTTGACTTTTGTTGAAATTATATTTTCTGATCATTAAATAATATTCGTGTCAATTCATGTCATATTCATATTCATGTCAATTCATGTCATGTTCATATTCATGTTAATTCAAGTCATACTCGTATTCATGTCATATTCATGTCATGTCAATTTACTTTTTCTAGTTTTGAATAAATTATAACTATCCATGTAACCATGTATTTATTGCTTTATTAAAGACTGTATAAACTGATAATTAATACAAGTTCATTATAAACATGCTTCAGCTAATACAACTTTGACTATCAATGCCACATTACATTTTTTAGTTGAATATATTATAACGACCTATGTTTGCTATATTTATAAAAGCAACATTTGTACACAATAAAAAGAAGAACCTTCTACCCTCGATTACCCCAATAGCCGAACGGTTCGCTCTCTCATTACCACTTATTACAGAGACTTATTATTACAGAGTTTCCGGGATTGTAAATATCTCCGTAGCATCCTATTTATTTCCCTAACTTGCCCAGCATCCCCCAACATCGCGTCCTCCGGCAGCCTCTTTTTGTTTTATTTCGAATGTTCTTTCATTTCTTAAAAGGTTCTCGGATGATAATTAGCACAATGCGCGGCGGCATTAATTATTACCCGTGCTAATTACCCGAGGATAAATCGCTCGGCAAGGGGTAGCCGCTGGTGGCGGCGGATTCGAGGGTCGTCGGGGTGGCACGAGGGGGTGGCGATGGTGGCGGTGGGTGTCGGTGGTGGTGGTGGACAGGCGGGGTGGCCCATTACCGTTATTGCTGCAACAAACCGTCCAACAACAGCGATAAATACGAGCGAGAGGCTGGCGTTACAAATGTCTCTCTGAGTTATGATTATTTAGCGCGACTGCTGCTGGCCGGATCGTTCGTTGCGGCTTTGCAAAACGACTTGCTGCCATTTCTGCGAGTTTATGCGTCTGAATCGCTTCCTTTTTTTTACTCTAGTTGCTTTGTTTTTAGTTTACTTTCCTGTAGGAGGGAAGTCTTCCTCTTCTTACGTAAAGAGATTTCTGCAATTTCTTCGGGTTTTTAGGAATACGGATAATAGTCTTGTGCTCGCTGCGTTTAGGAAGGTACTGTAGGAAGGAACACTAGTTGGTTATTAGAGACTGATTTGTGTAATTGTGGTTTTTGGACAAATTTAGATGATAGGTTAACGAGAGTTAGCGGTAATTTTATTTGATGATGTTTCTGTATTTTGGTAATTTCGTCTGATGTATGGAATTAGGTTTTTTTAATATTGTAAATGTAAAACATACATTTGATGTGAAATTTCAAAGTGGATACGGTTGGGAAACTTTGACGACCTTAAACATAGTGTTAAATATTGTAAAACATATTTGGAGCACGTACAACAAAATTTACCCCTTCACGACGCTTACAGATCACAATATACTATAAGTCTTATATAAGAATGTTTAAACGTTTAAAAATTATTTTAATGTAATCAGTACTCCATAGTTGCAATGTATATAAAATATTTATTGATATTCATGAAGAGTACTATTAATAAAAATTTGTTTTGAATAAATATTCTGTGATGTTTCAATATTTCCTACAACCTCATATTTTACAACCCCATATTAAAGTCCACATTTCTTTTTTACAGTAAAACAGAAAACAGTAAATTTTAGGGAAATCACAATTCTTTACTATAATCTCAATGCATTTGAAAATAATGTAATCAGCGCTCTCTGTCAATAAAGTACGAAACTATCGAAATAAAAGTCTGTTTCCGAAATATCGACAGAAGAGCTCACTTCTACCAGCTATTCGTACAAGTCCGACATTCGAACAGTCATTTTGAATATGACGATTTTCTGAAGAAAAGTCAAATTTATAAGGGTTTAATGAAGTCAAAACATTCCAAAGTTAATTAGTATTGCATTCCAATGTAATTTGATGCATAATATAGTAAAATAAGCGAAAAAATCGATTTTTTATAAAAATTGAACTAGTGGCGCCATCTCTTCAACGAACGGGGTGAACTACGCACTTTTGAAACACATCCTAAATTAGTTCCATCTTCTACCGCAAGACGGCGCTGGTGTATCCTGAAGCGCCGTCTAGCGGCAGAAAGTGGAACTAATCAAAGTAGAGTTTCAAAAGTGTGTAGTTCACCCCGTTCGTTGAAGAGATGGCGCCACTGTATGCGCCACTTTAATTTCCGTAAAAACTCAATGAATATTGATTTTATTGATTAATATACTATATAATTATTATGTATTTATTAATATTGACCTTATACTGCTTGCAATATAGTCTGTGGCTCCTAGCGGCAAGAAATCGAACTAATTAAAGTAGAGTTTCAAAAGTGCGTAGTTCACCCCGTTCGTTGAAGAGATGGCGCCACTGGTTCAAAAAATTTAATTTCCGTAAAAACTCAATGAATATTGATTTTATTGATTAATATACTATATAATTATTATGTATTTATTAATATTGACCTTATACTGCTTGCAATATAGTCTGTGGCTCCGAAAATGTGGATTATTTGTTCTGAATAGGTGGCGCACTGTACTGTGTCTCATCGGTAATATAGGGAGGTTCTCATAGATCTTTCTGTTGCTGAAAGTTTATTTAAGTTTATTTATGAAAAATTTAACATAACAATTTTCTAAAGTTTGTAATAAGCATTTTACAGTGCAATCTGTGTGCTAATATTTCGGATAAACTTATGCGATAAACAACCTTCATATCTGCATATGGTAATTTTTAATAATTGAGTAGTTGAGACTTGGAAACCTCCGCAAACTTAGAAATTTAAAAAATGTTTTGAAGATTCGAAAATAAGAAAATTTGAAAATATGAAAATTAAAAGATTGCAAAACCCAAAAAGTTGAAGAGTAAGAAATTATCCAAACTGCTTATGCTACATTCTACAATAATTATAAAATAATTATCCACCATGAGACATAGAAATAATATAAAATGTGCTCATGTCCCTTTTGAAAACTAGTTATGCAAATACTTGATACAAATTCAGATATCTATAAACCATCCTTCTTTCCTAAAGAAACTTATACGACTTGCAGTGAACTTATTCACACTTCGAAATGGTTACTCAATTTGCAACGAGGCTTCAAACCGGAAGAGCAATACGACAGACATTAATCACTCGAACACAATGAAAGAAAGACAGAAATTCAAGTAATAAGACGATGAGGTCAGTCACGGAGCAAAGGTCGATTTAAATGATAAAAATGTCTCCAGGGTCGCTGCATTCCAGGATTTACGTTGCAACAATTACAAAACGCTTTATTCGTCGAACAGAGTTATTTTCTTGTGCTCCGTGGACAAACATCGTGTGTTTGCCCCGAGATATTAAAATTACATTTAACATTTAAATGACTAGTGGTTTTCACTGAATGCTAGTGATTATCACTAGTGGTTTTCAAAGGAATACTTGCTGAGGAATATTTCAGTTCTAAAAGTGAGATCTTGCTAGTGAAAATTTGAATATGCCAGAAGAATAAATACTTTGTTGTGTTTAGCGAAATGTAAGTAATTATTGGTAACATTGCATTTCTGTTACGAATTGCGAAAAATAATTTTAGTAATATTTTTGAATATATTTTGCAATCATGAAGGCCGTATACATATTTTGTTTTAATATTCATAAAAGTATTATTGAAGATAGTAACTCTGTATGAAATAAAATACACAGCAATTGCTAGCTTAAAATATTTATCATTCTAATATTTCACGAAAGCAAATTAGAATTTTATGAATTTTTTCATTTTTTATTACATAAAATTATGTTTTATTAAAACGTTACTATGTAAACTGATTTGTCTTCAAATTCTACTAACTTATAAATTATTGCATATATATTTTTGCCCTCAATAATTTTATTAACCATTCACAATTTTATTAATCTTTCGTATTTTAATTTTATTAAACCTGGCATTTATATTTATTTAAAAATAGAATTTTCACGAGGAATATTCTTATCCACTGTACTCTACTTTAAGAAGCACCAGTGATAATGATTCCTTGACCTAGTTCAATTTGCTGAAGCAATCGCAGAGTTTTCGATGCTTCCTGTTAATTTGCAACACCAGTTAAAAATGATTTTTTAATCTCCATGAAAAATGCTAATTATTTAAAAGAACACTTAAAAATCATTATTATAATCAATCCTCTTAATCACACATATTCAGGTTTGAAATAATTAAATTTCATTTGTAACATTTTATTTTTGCTCCTTATTTACAACGACCTCAAATTATTCTAACAAATTACTTATCTCATATCTTGCTTCCTAAATTAACAGAGCAAATAGCTACGTTTACCATGTTAAATAATGAACTGTACTTTTAACTGGTTTACCGAACACACGATTAGTCATTTAAAAATAAACGAAGGTTCAACGATTTTCATGCACGTATTTGGTGTAGTGTATCTACGCGTGTCAATATAAAATGCTGGTGCTTTGACCCCGCGTGAACTTTGCGGGTAACTAGTTTCAAGGTTTCTAAACTATCTTACGGCAAATTGTACTTGTTACAGATTCGTGAGAATATTCATAAATATACTCCATACTATTAATTGCATTAAACATATACTTAATAAATAACATATTTGAAATATTTATGTATTTAAATATTTAACTACTGATAAAAACGAAACCGTTTAGATATTATTTAAAAAACGTGTTCCATATTTAATTATACATAAATGAGTATTGTAATAAGAACTGTAATTATGAATAATCTAAATTGTTCAAGCATTGATAAAAGTAAAAATATTCAAGTATGAAACGTTCCATATTTGATCATACGGAAATCGCGTCCATTTTGAAATGCAAAATTTGCAATCTAAAATTGTAATTACGGTATTTGAAATACTTTATGTCTTTCATTTTTATCGTCTTGTAAAATGACAAGATTATATTCCTTCAAAATTTATTGTTATCATAAGTCTTGAAATTTCTAAATCAATTATTGAATAATTATGGAGAGATTAAACAGAAGCTCTTTCACCGGAAATCTCTCCGTTATCGAACTCATAATTCTGAAATACCTTTCTCAAGTAGCGATCACTTAAATTAAACGATCTCTTTAACTCTCTCATGCATGAACTGTTGAACTGAAAATAAAAATTTCTCTATGGGCGTTAAGCGTAAATAACTAGTTTATTATGGTGTTCTGGTTATTGCTAATAAAATGTTCTTCTTGAAAGAAATTAAAATGATTGGTATGAACAATTAAAATAAAAAATTGATCTTTGTATATGAACCTTGCAGTGGCTTCATATTTTGTAACAGAATTTTTTAAATGAATATTTAAATTAAATATTGAATATGTATTTTTGAATTAGATATCGTGTATGCACTTTTAAATGAAATATTGAATTGTCATTTTTAAAATAAATTTTGCATAATCATTTTTAAGTAAAATATTGAATAATCATTTTTAAAATAAATATTGTATACTCATTTTTACAATAAATATTGTATACTCATTTTTAAATGAAATATTGAACAGTCATTTTTAAATGAAATATTGAATAGTCATTTTTAAATCCAATACCGAATAATCATTTTCAAAATAATTTATATAAAAAATAATAGTGACTGAACCCCTGAATTTATAAAATTACTCGACGTACCCCAAAATAAATCCCAAATAAAAAAATCACCACAGACAAAAAAATACCAAAATTCCCCCTACAACAAAACGAATACCAATCCTACATTCAAAACCAATACCAACTTCCCATATCCTAAAGAAACCATAAAAAACTGAAAGATGAAAAAAAATGATAAAAAACATAGAAAAGCTATGACGTCCCGTTTCCGAACACACCTCAGTGCAAACCAGACCACCATCCCCACGCTGCGTTCTTTCCCTTCCCCTACGGGATGAAACTGAATGGAGGGGGAGGTACATCGTCCTCTGGATACCTCGGGAAGGAGGAAGAAAGGGATGGAGACTATGGAGAGAGAGAGGGAAATGGATAGAGATGGTCTCTGGTTTCGATAACGCAGACTTGCCTCGTCTAATTACTCGTGTTTACTCGCAGAAGGAGAAGAGGACGGATCGAGACGTAGAACACGAAGAGTCCAGGGTAGTAGACACGAGGAAGGTCGTCCCTGAAGATGGCCTGCCCGAAAAGGCCGGCCACACTGCTCACCGTCTCCCTCGTCTACCTTCTGGTACTCTTCGGTAAGTTACCAACGTTGGCCCACCTGCTTTCTCTCGAAAATGTACCTAGAACCCTCTTCTGCGCCAACCCGCTACTTTCGAATATTCGTCATCGATGTTGGCTCATTTCTTTGCATCATTTTCGTTCTTAAATAGTTTTAAATTCTCAAATATTGTTAGGTATTGGTTCTTAAATATTGTTAGTTCTTAGTTCTTAGATTCTTAAATATTGTTAGTTCTGAGTTCTTAGATTCTTAAATATTCTTAGTTCTTAGTTCTTAGATTCTTAAATATTCTTAGTTCTTAGTTCTTAGTTCTTAGATTCTTAAATATTCTTAGTTCTGAGTTCTTAAATATTCTTACTTTTTAATTCTTCAATATTCAACTTCGTACTATTTTTTTCTGGCGGGTTCGCAACATTCTTAAGCACATACATATTTTCACTTGGAGGACCCTTTGTAATTAGAATTCTTTTCTTTTACAGGTTCCTACTGTCAAATGGCACCAGGTAATTTATTAATCTTGTATTTTTAATTGATCAAATACTATCTTTAAGGAAGACCAATAAATACGTGACAAACATGGAACAGTAATAGTGCTTTTAATGAACCATGCAAGTATTTCATTTATTCTTGTAATATTCTTCGAGTAAACTGTTTAATTTGTAAAATTTAGTCTTGAGTATATTTTTAAAAGAAATATTATCTTAGTTTCATAAAATTTTTTGACAAAAAATATGTTTTGAAGCAACCCATAATTTTAGACCATTTCAAGTTAATTAAATCTTTCACTAATCTTTCTAATTCACTAATCTTTCTCTTCTCACAAGAGTGAAAAAAGAAAAGTTCTCCTAAAATGCAAACTTGATTGATATCTACAAAAACAGTACACAAATTTACATGAACATAAATTTTTGTAAAACATCTGTAAATTACATGGAGTCTTCAAATTTGTACAACGTTACTTTAGAACCACCCAGTATATCTACTTAAATTTCCAACAATTTTCCACTTTTATGACCATTCCATTTTTTGACCATGATCAAGGAAATTCTTATATGCAAGATTCGTAAGAAAAACATATCCATCCAGATTTACAAATCTGTTATCTTTATATACGTAATTACAACGAAGCAGAGATGTCATTTCCGTGTCTCTTCGTCGTGTAACAGGGACTCCATGAATTAACGGTGTCTAGCATTCGTTTGAGTACCCCCATGTATGTATGTGAGGTGCGTAAATACATGTACAAAAGATACACACACGCATAGCGTATTCACGCTGTGTGCTTCGTCGCTTTTAGAACAACTCAGCTTCAGCGATTTAAGTGTGTTTACACACTGGGTGCTTTAGAAGTACTCGAAAGGACTGGATACTTGACTTCTCAAATTCTCACATTTTTTCATTTTTGTAGTTTGAAGTATTCGTGATTTTCAAATGTATGCATTCTTAAATTCCTATATCCTCAAATTGACAAATTTCGAAATTTCTACATATTCAAATAGGCAAATTTCTAAATTTTTTAATTCTTCATATTTTATGTTACTAAACTTTTCCCAAGGCTAGTAAAATTTTTTTAGAATGTTATTATTCGAAAATAATGAAATAATAAATATGGATGAAATACATTATACTTCATAATAAGAAAGAATTTCGATTTAAATGTATGTGATGCAAGGTTAGATAGCTTGGGTTGCATAACAAAATGGCGGACTCAGAAGCATAAGATGTCTGACATCATTGAATAATAACACGGAATAATATTTACAACAAGTACATGATACTCCAATTACAAAGTACAAGTTTGCAATAAGAAGAAAGTACAGTAAACAAGAGAACAATAAAAACGAAAGCTTACGATTCAACAAGTAGCACGAACCTAATAAAAACTAATAACTATTCTCGTCAGTCGCACTCTATCGCTATACAATCTGCAGTTACAGAAGACAACAGCAATCAACAATAAATCAACGTAGAATAGCAGTCACCGGAGCATAACGCAAATCTCATAAAACTTATCCTGTCACGAAAGCAATATGTTAGGATCTCAGGACCGCATGCACTTTTTAAAATAATTGGTAGTTAGGGTTTGGTATGAAAATTAAGGTGGTTCCTGATCTCTCAAGTTTCCAATCTTTCAAATAACCAAGCTCCCAAGCTTCCAATCTTTCAAATTACCAAGCTCTCAAATTCCAATCTTCCAAATTCCCAATCTTTCAAATTACCAAGCTCTTGAGTTCCAAATCTCCCAAGTTTCCAATCTCTCAAGTTCCAAATCTCCCAAGTTTCCAATCTCTCAAGTTCCCAATCTTCCAAGTTCCCAATCTCCCAAATTCCCACACTTCCAAATTCCCAATCTCTCAAGTTTCAAATCTCCCAAATTCCCACACTTCCAAATTCCCAATCTCTCAAGTTCCAAATCTCCCAAATTTCCAATCTTTCAAGTTCCAAATCTCCCAAGTTCCCAATCTCCCAAGTTCCCAATCTCTCCATATCTCCCAAGTTCCAAATCTCCCAAGTTCTAAATCTCCCAAGTTCCAAATCTCCCAAGTTCCATATCTCCCAAGTTCCAAATCTCCCAAGTTCTAAATCTCCCAAGTTCCAAATCTCCCAAGTTCCATATCTCCCGAGTCCCCAATCTTTCAAATTCCCAATCTCCCAAGTTCCAAATCTCCCAAATTCCTAACCTTCCAACTTTCCAATCTCCCAAATTCCCACTCTCCCCAATTCCCATCCTTCCAAATTCCCAAAGTCACCTTCCAAAAACTACTCATAGGCCCTCCGTCGCCTCCGTCCCTGAAGCGTCAAATCCCCTCTAATTATTCAATATCTCCGTAGATCCAACAGAACAGCGAAAAGAGGTGTATATTTCCTAACTCTCGTCCGTAATCGCTCCATAATCGAACATCCTACGCACACACGTCCGTGCACACCGACAGCCCCGCGAACACAATGATACATGTGCCTGTGGGACTTCGTGACGCTCGCACACAAACGAGCATATCCCTTGCGTCTCATCGGTTCAAACGAACGATTCCAGGGCAGCAATGTTTGTCAGTCGACGCGTGACTCCCGGTCGGGTCACATTCCAAAATTTCCTTACGTCGTGTCTTTCTTGTACTACCGAGTAGTTTATTGCCACTAACAGTAACAGCTAGTAGCAGTAATAGTTACTAGCAGCTAGTAGCATTAATAGCTGCTAGTAATAGTAGTAATAGTAGTAATAGTAGTAATAGCAGAGCTATATTTTAATAGCACCAGTGTTATTAGTGCTTGAGGAAGAGAAACAATAGTTTAAGGATGCATTGGAGACTGTGGGTGATTTTTGCAGCCGTGGTCGGAGCCACCAAAGGCTGGGACGTGGGAAACGGTGTGAAGTACAAGCTAACGACGACCTTGCTCTTCAGCGAGGCTACTCCCACGAAATCCAGTGGTGACGTTGGTTTCAGATTGACCGGCGAGCTGGATGTCACCGCCGTCTGGCAGACACCGGACGATAGTTTCTTGCTGAAAATCGAGGTAGGCTTGCTTGTTAGGCTTCTGTGGTTTAAGCGAGATTAATGTCTGCTGAGAATTCTTGCGTAGAAATTGGAGATATTTATGGAGACGGCTCAAAGCTATTTCAGTGTTACTTTTTAACTGGAAAATTATGGATTTTCAGATTTTTGAAATTATTGTGTTGATGTTCTTGAGGAATTGGATTTTATGAAATTTTTAAATTTCGATCTTGAAAAAGTTACTTAAACTTTTGAATTCCTAAATTCTTCCTAAGTCCCCAAATTCCAAAATTCTCGGTAACTAAATAAGTTTTCATTTATCCTCTCATTTTGACATTTGAAGCATCACTTGTTCTATAAGTGGACTCTTTATCGAACAGCGATAAACGTTAAAAGAGTATGCGGTTCCCGTATATAGCTGATAACCTTTCCAAGAAAACTTGGAACGAGGTATACTTTTGTGAGATGTTGTACCGAAACTCAGATTAAATTCATTAATTTTTACATTCACAAATTACTTTTACATAAGCAAGCTTACATAACATATTCAAAGTACAGTATTATATTTAACATGAAAATATTGTTAAATATTTTTTTAGTTAAATTTTCGTATTGTGACTGTGCTTAGTTAGCTCTGACTGACTGTTGAAAAAATCATAGGTTAAGGGACTAAATATAAAGTCGTTAGTTGTACAAAATTCATATATGTACAATATTATGTATTTATAGGTTATGACCTACCTACATATGTGTATGTATATTTACTGTACTATATGGCCTATCTGTATAAGGTTAGAGTATACTTTATACAGATATAAGAGTACAGTAAATTGAGCAAATATTTCTCATAAAGTACAAATATAAATAAAAGTATATCTAAAAAAGTCTATAACTAACATTCGATCTCTTCCTCAGCTTCTGTCACCGCAACTATGGATCAAGTCCCGAAGAGCGCCGGAGCCCGAAGGATTCGTCGAGCACTCCTCCCGAATTCAAAAAGTCTCCGAAAAGCCAGCTCTCATCGTCTGGAAAAACGGCGAGATCCAATCGCTCTTCATGGACGCCTCGGAGAGTGCTTCTTCGGCAAATCTGAAACGTGGTCTGGTCAGTCTCTTCCAGTACAAGGTGTTCGACGGTGAAGTTCAAGAGCGAGACGCTTCCGGTCTCTGCAACGTGACGTATCACTCGCTCGGACCTATGACTGTGGGAAAACGAAAGACGTTCTGCGAGCATAACAACCTGCCAACCAGGAAACGACATCCGAATCCACTTTTCGACGTAAAAGTAGCGAGCCTTCGTAACGCCACTTACGAGCTCACGCAGCAATTTCGGCCAAATATGGTGCGCGAGCAAGAAAGGCATAAAATGACGCTTACTGCGAGACCGGAAATGGGAACCGTAGTCACGTCTGAGAGGACACTCGAATTACTGCCGGGTGCTGTGAACGCGAAAAAAGTGCAAGCCGATAACCTGAAGCAAGCGGTTGCCGCAATACTGCCTGGGTCTAGGGAAATGAGTGTCGAATTGCAGTTGGAACCATTTAGTTGCCCCGATAATGGATGTCCAACGGTTGGTTTAGAAAAAATTTATTACTACTCGTGTCTGTTGTGATTTCATGAGTTTTCATGCCTTAAAAATCTTCTGTTCTATAATGTCAAACTTTTTACATTCTCCAATGAATGATTATTCTTCATATGATTCATTCACATGTTTATGACGTCATTTTGAGAAATACGGCCGACTTTATCTTAATACAGAAACGATTTCCTCGCCAATATCAATAGTTGAAAGTTTCGAAAGACCGGAAAGTTTAAAATTATCCTCGTTTAAATTAGTAACTTTGTTTGTCAAGAGCGTCCTATCTGCTGTTTATTCACGTGCGGTCAGCAGCTGATGCACAAAGGGAAGGAAATGTACGATGCATAATAGTTTATGTCTTTAGTAATTTGTGGTTTCGTTCATACTTCGCCAGAAAATTGTGGGAACTAAAGGTTATACTAATTTATTACACACTTTGTGCAAAAATAACAGCTTACATTATTGCAAAATATACCGTAAAGTCTTCTCATATAATATGTATATAATATATGATCTACACAGTCTGTTATAAGATTGTCTAAATTGTTATAAGATTATTATGCTACATTCCTAATTTCCAGATTGAAGGCACAATCGAGGAGTACCGCAGCGCCCTAGAAGCTAGCTCCCTGGGCACCGGCAAATCCGCTTCAGCGTTCCTGAAGCTGGTACCTCTAGTCAAATCCGCAACCTCGGAGGAGCTGTTTAAGCTACTAAAAAGCCCTCGATACCGTCAGCTGAAGTCACAGCTGCTCGACATATTCGGTTCAGCATCGACGCTAGCGAGTCACCAGGCGGCCATGAAGATCCTGCGACAGGACGAGACGGGGGACAACACGGAGAGGTACCTCTGGGCCCTGTCGCTGTCCCCGACCCCAGACGCGGAGGTCGCGAAGAACATCCTGAAGCGATCAGAAGAAACGATACCGAACGACAAGGTGTCCGAGACGATAGCCCTAACTGCAGCAGCGATGGCCCGTCATTTGGAGTCACCAGTCGCCACTGAGAAGGCCAGGGCCAGTTTAGAGCTGGGTCTGGACAGCTGCACGGGCGAAGACTGCAAGATAAAGTTCCTACGAGCTCTGAGGAACCTCCGAAGCAAGGCTGCGATCCCGACGCTGCTACGATTCGCCACGAGCGACAATAGGGGCATCAGTGTTGCCGCCTGGCGGGCGCTGGCTGCCCTCCCGCCGAGCTCCATAACGAACGAAGTGAAGAACGCGGCTAAACGGGTGTTCTACCAGATAGGTGGGCCCAGGAGAGACAGCAGTACTCGAACCCTGGCGCTGGATATCATCTTGGAGACTCAACCACCAAAGGAGGACGTGGAGCAGCTGGTGGAGTACCTGGCGGGGTGCGGACCCCGCCTACGAAATCCGGAAATACCTCAGCCAGCGGCTGGAACAGCTCTCTGAGAAGGATCCTCAGCTGGACACGCATCTGAAGGAGGTCCTGAGGGCAGCGGGCAAGAGGGTGGTTAATTACAACGTGTTCTCGCAGGCTGGTCTGAGTACCGCTTTCGCCAGAAGCTTCCTGAAGTCGGCCGACAGCAACGGATCCCTGGTGACTGTCCAGGAGATCAACTCCGGATTGCTGAAACGAGGTGTGGTGGACGTGGTCCTGCAGGTGGAGGGACACGAGGAGGCTCTATTTTCTTTGGGACTCTTTGCTGGAGGTCTGGGAAGCTTCGTGTCCACTAATAACCAGGAGGACGAGGCCCAAGACGACGAACCCGCTACCGCAGGCATGGAGATCGACTTCCTGGGCGTGGGCATTAGGCCGTTCGTCTTCTTCTCGGGCCAGGGCGAGCTGATGGGACACGTCTGGTCGGGCACTGCCTCTGAACGGACACCGGCCTTTCAGGCCCTGACTGCGCTCCACAGCCACAACGAGTACGTTCCTCTGGCGTCTGGGATGCTGGCGGAAGTCGACGTCCAAGGGGCAGTCAGCTTCGACCTGGCTGGACAGATCCAGCTGAGTCTGTGGTCCAGGAACGCGCAGTCTCTGGTGGATCTGAAGGCTGGGCTGGTGATTCAGGGTGGGACCAAGGTGCGGTCGGACTTTGTGCAGAGCATGGCGGAGTTCTCGATGACTATGGAGCCGAAGCTGGAGTTGGCTACCGATGTGGACTTCTCCGGACCGATGTCTTTGTGCATGAGACTGAGTCAGCCTATGAATACGGTCAAGTACCAGGTGTACAAGGTGGAGAGAATAGCGGGAAGCAGGCATAAGCTGAGGAAAACTAGGAGGATGAGGCTGCATAATCCGGGCAGGTCTTATTTGTTGAACAGGAAGAACAACGAGATGTGCTCGAAGGTGTTTAGTTAACTGATTTAAGTGAAGACTGTGTTAATGTTCTGGAGATCTGAAGTGAAGACTGTTGAGGATATTTATGTGTAGTTCGCCAGATGTGGAAGAGCATTTTTTGGTGTTGCAATTGTGATGGCGTTTTATACACTGTGTACGTGGTGTGTGAACAGTTTTAATGAGACATAGAATATTTTTTTATCGATGAAGAATACTCGAAGTCATTCCAGCTGCAGTGAAACTAATTTCCTTTTCGGTTTGTTCGATCATTTTCTTATAACGAAAACGCTATTTTTATATGTACGGAAATATTCAGGAATTTGAAAGAAAATAGGGTGGTTGTACATATGTAGTTGATAATGGACTTCTTATAAATCGAAAGGAATTGTTTAAGGGTTAAGAAAAGTCTAGTTACTTATTTTTCTTATAACTTATGAAATTTTAAACATTTTATACTCGGAATATTTTTACTCGAATATTGCTGGCTCACTGAATATATTTTCAATTAGGGGGAAATATTTATATTTTCTACAGATTATTCAGATCCGATTTGTACTCGAGGGACATTGACATTTCTACAAAAAAAGAAAAATTTATCAAATAAATTGTTTAATATATAAAAACCTTTGTTTTATTTTTATTTCACAAATATACAATTTCATGATCTACCAATTACCACAAAAAAGTCTCTAAATATTTATAAATCAAATATCGAAAGAACTTGAACTCATCGGTTCATCAAGTCAAAAGCGATAGCTCACTCCACGTGTCAGTTTTATCGTTTCCGAATTCTTCAAAATTTCAACGACAACCACATTCCGCAACCACCATATCTTCATATCCATACTGATAAGTCAAAGTCCCGCTAGCATCCAAATACAGCAAACTAGTAGGCGCTAGCCTCGTCGGCACGCAGCAAGCTCTCCCAACAGGTTTCCCTCCGTCCACACCCTGGAGAGCTCCGTGCACCAAAGTTTGCACGATCGCGTGTTTCGTGGGGCTGAGATGATCACCGAACGGATAGAAGCACTTTCCCGCACACTGGTACGCTTCGTAGCCCGGTGGAGCGACTACCCACTCGTCATACGCAATTAAAGCAAAGTCCACGTACAGAGATCTGCGTCTGCAGGAGTTCTTGCGTCGCCTACGAGGACCTTCGTCTTCCTCCTCTTCTTGAACGGATCTTCTGGAGCGTTTGCGTTTCACCTTGCTGTAGCTCAGCAGCAAGATAGGACCATCACCACAAGGATAATACCCGACTCTGCCGTATACTCTGAGCCTGAGGATGTTGTCTGTCCTTGAGGCTACCGCCGAGGTGACGTTGAAGGCCCTCCAGTTGTCGTCCTTCCTGGAGTTGCAGCTCTCGGAAGCGTTCACCTGGTCCAAACGCACTCTGAGGATGGCTCCGGCTACTCCTAGCAATTCTGCAGCTTCTAGACTCTCTTCAGGTGCTACCAGAGGCACGGAGAACACCAGGATCCTGGCTCCATCGTTCGTGGGACCCGATACGTGGATGGGTTGCAGCGCTCGGACTATGTCCACATCGGACCTCCGGTGATATAACTCCAGCATGTACCTCGACACGGCGCCTCGATACTTCCTGTGACTCTTCTCGCTGTTTCTCTTACTCGTCTTGTTGGAGAATCGGTGAAGAGCCGACGGAGAGGAGGCTGGGATCGAGAGGTCGAACTGTATGGACGCCTTCGCGTGCACGGTGGACCTCTGCCAGGATAATGACCCTGTTTTCCAGAGACCATAAACGCAAAAGGTTCCGACGACGAGGAGAAGTAGGCAGTGAGAAGGATTCATTGCGAGGAAAAATTGACTTTTGACCCGAAGTCGATCAAATTCTATATCGAACTGAAAACGAACGCATGGGTGGAAGGTGAGCTTGAAGGACCGCTTTTAAATAGCTGCCAATGAAGAGCCGGGGTTCGAAATTGCCGCTGGAATGCCTTTATCATTGACAGACCACCACTCGACCTCGAGCTACCCCGACTTACTGCGATATTCGTTCGATCGTGCTTGAATACTTGTGGGGAAGCCATCTTTTGGGGCGCTTTGGAACAAATGGACATTACGGAATTATTTAGGAGTTCTATAAGATTCATTGCATCTAAATAGGTTTTGTCAGGTCTTCATAGATTTCATCAAATAAGATTACACATTTTATTCTTATAGCTATTTATTCTTACAACTATTAACAGTTAACAGTATTTACAAACAGTTTTTGTGGCTATAAAATTGAAGCTCATAAATTAAAAATAATTGAAATATGGAAATAATGATACTGAACGAGATGAACAGAACTGATGAGTACAATAAATATTAAAACGAGTTTGATGTTTCTAGCAAGCTCCAGAATATTTTACATTAATCGTTCCTCGTTGTCGCCAACCAAAATCGATGTATGAATGACTCACAGATTAGCCATTACCGATGACAAGAACCTACCGAAACTATTTCCATCCACTTTACATTCACAACACGATCATCAATTTCCGCCCATCTTAATCTCAACAGAATATTACTGCATCATCACTCTTGATCTCTTCATAAACTCTGCAAAATATAACTAATCTAAATATGCATTTGAATCATGAAGACGTTATTGAAATATCTCCAATACTATTATTTATATCGAAAATATTTAAATTTCAACAAATGAAGGTCAAGTTTCTTTCTTTAAATAGAGTCGCATATTTTGGTACAAAAAAATAGCATTTGACTGTGTCCTAAAACCACTTAATCATTAGAGTAGTTTAATTTTAGCTAGTGTTAAAAATTTAGGGTTATTGATGTTGACTAAAGATATTGAAATTTTAGGGGTGCAAAGATTTAGGACGCTGAGAGTTCGGATTATCAAAATTCTACGAATATAGAGATCTTATGACTTAAGGGTTTAGAATATAGGAGTTTAGGATATCATAGTTCTAAGAATATAATAATTTAGAGGTCTAGGTACGTAGAAAGATATATTTCATATCTCATGTCCACCGATTCATATCTCAAATCTGACGTCTCACACGTTACGTCCCGTGTCTTATGTCACATGCCTCATGTCTCTCACATGTTTCGAGTCAAATAGAGCCACTAAAACAACAACATGATAAAAGATATCCCCATGTAAAAGCACCGCAAACCCGAGGACAACGATCATAATTCACGCGTTTGGTTCGACGTCAAAGTCCGAAGTTGATCGATTTTTTTCGCGATTGGCGATCATCCAACAAGTTCGGTGGCTGTCGAGGACGACGCTCGCTCCACCAGCGGTCCACTATATTTAAATATAGTCGAAGATCATCGTAGTGGATGGACCAAGAGAGCTAGTCTTATGTGCGAGCTACTGATAGCAGCCGCTCCTCTCGGTGGAGCAGCAGCGGCAGTAGCCTTTCTGACAAGCGGACCGATCCAAACGCGAGTACCAACCACGAGAAGAGTAGTCTCCGAAACGGGCTAACTGGCCCGTCTGTTTCCGTGCGAGCAGACACCGTCATCCGGGGCAAAATCTTCCGCTGAAGGATCATCGTCGGCCGTAGCGTCCGCGTACGGTCCGAGATATGACGTCGACTTGTTTCTCACCCGAACCGATTCGACCACCGATCGACCTCACCGATCAATCCGACACAGTCAAGGTGGAGTGTCTTAAAACGTTTCTTCACCATCTCTTTCAGTTTTGTTCCGTAACGCGATTCGGCCCGTTCGGGATCATTCTCGTCAAGAAGGTTCTGATGAAACCGTCCGTTCGATACTCGATCGCGCGTGTGGGTGGCCAGACTTGTTGCACAAGAAACTTGGCGTCGTCGAGAGCGCACGATACATCGCCACGATGGATAGACCGAGAACTAGCTTCCTCCTGCAGGGATCCTCCCGCGGGATCGTCCGTTCCGTTCACCTGCCCGGTCTAAACTTAGCTCTGCACTTGGCATTTCGTTACGTAACCAAATAATAATAAGACGACGGGTGCTCACGTGCGCAAACGTGTGTGCTTGCAGGGTACCGACCTGATCCGAGTGTCGAGGTTTTTCAAGGACAGCAAGGAGGGGAAGTTCGTCAGCTACGTGCACGAGGACACCAGGACCCTGTACGACGGTTTCCGCAAAGGAGCCAAGGAGTCCAGTAAGTGTCGAACGAACGGCGGGCAGAACGCTGCTCAGAAATCGGTGTCGTGTCTCGTGTTTTAAATAAACGAGCGGAGTCGGTCCGTATAATGCACCGTTTGGCAAGTGGCTACGGGTGGCCACGTTCGAGTGACAAACGGAACGGACGACTAATAAGCTCCGGGACCGCTGCTGCCCACCCGAAGCTTTCGCGCCGATTTATCGAGATTCGGCCGGTGTGACCATGCGTTGTTATTTCATTCGCAAACCGTCTTATTTTTAACCCGCGACGGAAACCCACGCGAGGACGACAAGCATCGGGACACCTGCCGTTCTTCAGGGTCGAGTCACCTCTTAAGGGTCTTCTTCACTGACTAGCCAATTTTTGACTCTTGTTTTTTATTTCTTCTTCTGAGTGTTTACTATTCTGTTGTTCTTCAAGCTCGAGTCATCACTAATAGGTTTAGTGGAACTAGTCAATTTTTTACTGTTATGTTATTTATTTTTTTTCGAGTGTATCCATATACTGTTCTGTTGTTCTCGAGTCACCTCTTAAGAGTCTGATGGACTGACTAGCCAATTTTTTACCCTTGCTTACTATATTTTGCTCTAAGTGTGTCCATGTACTGTTCTATTGTTCTTCAAGGTCGAGTCATCTCTTAATGAGTCCATGTGTTCTGTTATTCTTCAGTGTTAAGTCACCTCTTAAGGACCTAGTGGAGTAGTCAATCTCTTATTTTTTCTTGTTACTTGTTCTTATGAGTGCATCCATGGTTAGTTCTCTTGTTATTCAAGATTGAATCACTTCTAAGGATCCAATAAATTGAGTAACCCATTTTTTGCTTTACTTATTATTATTTCTTCTGGCTGTGTCCATGTGCAGCTTCAAAATTAAAAAATGTATAAACAGTCAGAACTTTAGGTATCTAATATTTGGACGAAGACATAAGTACATTTTGAAAAAATATTTTTAACACATGAAGTTGGTTCAAGTATTAGATTGCTGACATTTAGATGTGATGATCTTACGGTATTCATTGAATAATACCTTGCTATTAAACAAAACACAGAACACATGTTCAAGTTATCTTTCATGCAATTCATAAATCCATCACTCATCACACAACAGCGTAATGTCGCCAAGACGAAAATGAATACTGCTAACTATAATTAAAAATGAATTGCAATGAGAAAGGAACTCGAATAACAGAATTTCAAAATTATATTGCACGTGTTTAGAATGAGATATCATATAATAGTTTACTTCAGCGATTTTAGAGCTCAGAAAAAGAGATAGGACGAGATACTGAAGAATGCGACTCTATCCAATGACAGGTGCCAAAAAACTTGGGTGATTTACCAGCTAAAAAGATTTAGGGCCCGCAATTTAAGCTAAATCGCAATTTAATTTTGTTACTTACTGTTAAGTGCATATCAAATTTATAATACTTTGCATTGCTGATTGTTCGAATTAGCAAACAATTCTCCATTACAAATCTCCATTTCATGATCAAACAAGTTGTTTCGCATCAATGTCATAAATCGCACAGTCGGTACTTGTTTACAATCGTGCCTATATGAATATGCATCTGAAAATACTTATTTCCCCCACTTTCGAGTGTTTCTCTATTTCTCCTCTGTCTTTGGGTCTCCTGTGTCAAATCCGTCGTGGTTTCACGACCTCCTGTTCGACGAAACGGCAGTTGGCAAATCGCAAGTAGCGGGCAATTAAAATTCCTGGACACCCGTGACCAAACGAAACGCGTGTTTTCAGTTTAAGTACGCCTCTTGTCGATCATTGAGACACTCGTTTGTTAACAAACCTTCAAATCGACTGAGGAGACCTACAAAATTCAGGAACTGTCACAGCCTTGTCTCTTCTAGGGAAGAGGCAGACCTCCTTCGAGATGCAAACACAGCATCTTCTTCGTCTTCGAGACAACTCCTTCGACACAAGATTTCAAAGGCAAAATATAGAATTTCCCAGTAGCTCCATTTTCAAAATTTTCTTCATACAACCACACAAGTCAACACAGTATTTACAATTCGTCTCGTAAAACCTTGTGAGAGATTTTCATTCTCTACGAAAATTTAGGAAGCAAACAGCATAATTAATAAAATATAGAAAAATATTGTTATCTGTTTAATCTTGCATTGTGGATGTTGTCGTCAGAGCACAGCCATCATTGGTTCATTTATCAGCTCCTCATTTAGTGTGCCTGATCTCTCGTTCTTAACTAACAGACAACGGCCCCTGTCTCGGTTGGCGCGATGGCCCCACAAAACCCTACCAGTGGCTCCACTACAACGAGGCCCTACTCAGGGCGAAGAATTTCGGCTCCGGTTTGGTCACACTAGGCTTGACACCAGGTTCGCACACCTTCGTGGGTCTCTATAGTCAAAACTGCCCTGAATGGATCCTAACGGAGCAGGCCTGTTACACGTACTCCCTCGTGGTGGTACCTCTTTACGACACATTGGGACCCGATGCCTGCGCCTTCATCATCAACCAGGCTGAGATAAATTTGGTCGTCTGCGAAAATGATAAGAAGTGTAATTTGCTTCTTGATAAGGCACCCAGGTATGTTCGTAAGTCAAGAATCTTTAGAAGTACCATTAATGTTTGATCATCCACATATGGACTATTAATGTCTCATCCACATATGTAGCATTATTGTCTGATCCACATATGTAGCATTAATGTCTGATCCACATATGTACCATAATAGTCTGATCCACATATGTACTATTAATGTCTCATCCATATATGTACTATAATTGTCTGATCCACATATGTACTATTAATGTCTGATTCACATATGTAGCATTAATGTCTCATCCACATATGTACCATTATTGTCTAATCCACATATGTAGCATTATTGTCTGATCCACATATGTACCATTAATGTCTCGTCCACATATGTATCATCAATGTCTCAGCCACATATGTACCATTAATGTCTCATCCACATATGTACCATTATTGTCTGATTCACATATGTAGCATTAATGTCTCAGCCACATATGTACCATTATTGTCTAATCCACATATGTACCATTATTGTCTAATCTACATATGTACCATTATTGTCTAATCCACATATGTAGCATTAATGTCTCAGCCACATATGTACCATTAATGTCTCATCCACATATGTACCATTATTGTCTAATCCACATATGTACCATCAATGTCTCGTCCATATATGTACCATCACTGTCTCATCCACATATGTACCATCAATGTCTCATATGAACAGTCTACACATGTCAACAACCAGCACAGTCCTTTCTCTACTCACAAAAACCTTCAACCATGACTTCAAAACTACTTCTAAAAGAACATAACCAAACCTCCATTTCAGGTGTCTAAGAAAAATGGTAGTAATAAAAGAAACACGACAGACAACAACTCAAAGGGCGAAGAACCGCGGCGTCGAGTTGCTGAAGTTCGAGGACGTGGAGCGTCTCGGTGCCCAAAAGAATCATCCGGAAGCGCCGCCAAAGGTGAACGACCTATGCACGATATGCTACACTTCCGGCACCACCGGTAACCCCAAGGGTGTGATGCTGACGCACCAGAACGTGATAGCAGCCATTTCCGCGGTGCTGCTGCAGTTAGGGGAGCACAGGCCCTCGTACAAGGACACGATGATCAGCTTCTTACCTCTGGCACACATGTTGGAACGATGCTGCGAGAACGGCATGTACATGGTGGGCGGATCCGTAGGCTTCTACAGCGGTGACATCAAAAGGTTGCCTGAAGATATGAAAGCCTTGAGGCCTACAGTCATGCCAGCGGTACCTAGGCTCTTGAATCGGATGTACGACAAGGTGAGTGGCTTGCGTAACTTCACTTCGTTTGAACTTCGAAGTGGAACTTCACTGTTTATCTTTGCTTTTTATGTAGTTTGTTTGTATTTTGGCTGGGTGTGTGGGTTGATGCGGTTCGCGTGTGCAATTTTTTAGGTCATTGACGCAGAGGGATTATGAGAGATTATGGGGATTATTAGGTTATGTGGTAGTGATTTATTGGGTGGTCGAGTGGTGGAGAATTTTAGGACTTAAACTATGGAATTTCGGGGTAGTGGAGTTTTTTAAGTTTGAGCTTATGGAATTTTAGAACTCAAATTTCCAAACTTTCAAATTTCCGAACTTTCAAGTTTCCAAACTCTCAAGTTTCCGAACTCTCAAGTTTCCAAGCTCTCAAATTTCAATGCTCTCAAATTTCCAAGCTCACAAATTTCCAAACTCTCAAATTTCCAAACTCTCAAGTTTCCAAACTCTCAAATTTCCGAACTTTCAAGTTTCCAAACTCTCAAGCTTCCGAACTCTCAAGTTTCCAAGCTCTCAAATTTCAATGCTCTCAAATTTCCAAGCTCACAAATTTCCAAACTCTCAAATTTCCGAACTTTCAAGTTTCCAAACTCTCAAACTTCCGAACTCTCAAGTTTCCAAGCTCTCAAATTTCAATGCTCTCAAATTTCCAAGCTCACAAATTTCCAAACTCTCAAATTTCCGAACTTTCAAGTTTCCAAACTCTCAAGCTTCCGAACTCTCAAGTTTCCAAGCTCTCAAATTTCAATGCTCTCAAATTTCCAAGCTCACAAATTTCCAAACTCTCAAGTTTCCAAACTCTCAAATTTCCGAACTTTCAAGTTTTCAAACTCTCATATTTCCAAGCTCTTAAATTTCCAAACTCTCAAATTTCCAAGCTCTCAAGTTTCAAGTTAATTTTTTTAATTTGAGGTCTTTGACACTCTGGGAGCTTGGAAGTTTGAGAAATGAGAACGTTTGAACTTCTGGACGTAGAAATGCTTGAACTATGGGTCTTTGGTACTTTTAAACATTGGAGTCTTTGAACTTTGGAACTTAGAAAATTTTCAAGCTGTTAGACTTTGGAACTTCGAAAATTTTTAAATGTTCAAAATAGGAAATATAAAAGCTTTGAAATCTTGAAATTGTGGAACAACTTTGAAACTCTGAGACCTAATACTTGTACATAACCTCACAAAAGCAACAATTCTACCTTTAACACTAAAATTCACTCATGATATTGTCATGTAACATATCACTGAAGCATACACATATCACTAAAAACATAAATATTTATTAAGAAGCAAAATACTTCCGCCGTTTTGCTTACAAAACAGTCCTCGAACAGTGGCGGACAGTCAAGTTATATTCTTAGCAATGAAACTTACAGGAAAATCAGAAGGCGTAGATATTTTCGAGGTGCAAGGACAGATTGTTAAATAACCTATAGAAAATCGTACTCCACGAAAATCGTGTTCGCAATTTGTATATCGAAATTCCATCCGAATCGATGAAATATATTTTTACCCTCGGGCCACGCGTTAAGTGCAAGGACAGACGTTAAGTAATTTATATTGGGCAATTTGTTGAGAATTGAGGTGGTGGTAAAACGAATTTTCCACTTTGGCCGCACCAAAAATAATGTACCACGTTACCCATTGAATTTGATGGACAGTTGCATTAGCGATATTTTCCAGATACGCACTCGTGACGAATATACTTTTATATTCACACCTACGCTGCAGTTCCAACCTGAACTGTAATTTCTATTTTCAAAGCCTCGGGTAAATTAATGTCAATCAGCTTTTCGAGATAAATAACACTTTACGCTGTTTTTAAACAGATTTTTTCAGAAATTTAGTGCAATGAAAGAGGTAGAATATTTAGTGCAATAAAATACTTTGATGTACTGTTATATAATTGTTATACACTAACAAGTATAATTTGATTTAATAAATTAATTTAATTTAACAGTTGAAACATACATTTTATTTTATTTAAAATAACATTCGTTTTCAAAGTAAATGACAAAATAGTTGTAACTATATTACAGTTATAGCAGTTCTCAAAATGGCCGCCATTTCTCAAAGAACTACATTTTCCTCCACTTTCCTCCTTTCCAAAAATATTTGAACGAAACACAGAAAGTAACAGCAAACATTGAAACAAAGAGTGTGTCAGTTTAATTCACCCTGTAACAATTAGACAAGCTTTAATTACCCACGACGGAGTCACTTATGGCTCCCTGTTATTTACGTTTCCATTAAATTACACATGTTCATGTTTTTGAGACGGGACATCGACACAAACGGGACGCAGTCTTATTAAGGTCAGCGGTGCATAACATCTTTTGATGCTGCAGTGGTAAACGCGAAATCGAGGATGACAAGCATAGCACGACGAAACAGGTGGAGACGAACCCGTAACCGTGAAATCTTTGAATGAATGGGAACGTGTATTTTGTGTGTACAGAATAAATCTCCGCATCAAATTCATGATGTCGGTGTAAATGCTTTACGTGGTTGCGTTAACCTTCTGTTTTTCTTGAATTAGACTGTTGGTTAAAGAGGATTTACCTGTAATCAGGTGAGGTGATCAAATTCTTGGATTGAGAATTTGAGGATTTGAGGATTTGAGGATTTGAGGATTTGGAAATTTCGAAGTTGGAGTTAGGTAGTTGAGAATTCAGAATTTGGGGAATTTGGGAATTTGGGGATTCGAAAGTTTGGAATTCGGGAAATTTGGGGACTTGGAAATTTGGGGATTCGAGAGTTTGGAATTTGGGAATTTGGGGATTTGAGAGTTTGGAATTTGGGAAATTTGGAAATTTGGGAATTCGGGGATTCGAGAGTTTGGAATTTGGGAAATTTGGGGATTCGAGAGTTTGGAATTTGGGAAATTTGGAAATTTGGGAATTTGGAATTTGGGAAATTTGGAAATTTGGGAATCTGGGGATTCGAGAGTTTGGAATTTGGGAAATTTGGAAATTTGGGAAT